GTGTCCCTGGAAGCCATCACATACAAATATTTTGCAGTACATCCCCCAAGAGACCTAGTTTTTCAGTGTTTTTCAACCTCTTGTTCCAGGAACAACTGCAGAACTGGATTCGGGGCAATGTCAGTGCTTGTCCCTATTCCATCTTCATTTTTGATGAGATGGACAAAATGCACCCAGGTCTCATTGATGCCATTAAGCCCTTCTTAGACTATTACGAGCAAGTTGATGGAGTGTCCTATAGAAAAGCCATCTTCATCTTCCTCAGGTCTGTAGCACCTCTTTCAGTCATTTTGAGGTACCGAGATAAAGCTGTATTTATGATGATAATCATGTTCCTATGGGACCTTATTCAAAGAACAGTAGAACCGCTGTGGAGCAGAAACTCTCTCTGTGAAGACAGAGGGGAGCACTACGAGCTCTTGTGTGGCCTGTGGCTGTAGTTGAGCAGGTGTGACACTGTGCTGCAGACCACTGTGTGCTGAGCTCATGAGTCTTGCCCAGACCCCACATCGTATGAGGGTTCACATTCTGGGGACGTTCTCTGGGATGGGGACACCGTGTGTGTACTGGGTCTGGCTGGCACGGAGCTAACTGCCTTCACAGCAGCCAGGCTGGTGCCATGTTTTGGATTTGTGGCTAACACAGTGTTGATAACAGAGCATGGCACGGAGCTAACTGCCTTCACAGCAGCCAGGCTGGTGCCATGTTTTGGATTTGTGGCTAACACAGTGTTGATAAAAGAGCAGTGTTTTGGCTGTTGTTGGATGGTACTTGCACAGCCTCAAGGCCTTCTCTGTTTCCCATGCAGCCTCCAGCGAGTAGGCTAGGGTGGGCAAGAGAATGGGAGGGGACACAGCTGGGACAGCTGACCCGAACTGGCCAGGGGAATATTAATGTCACGTCATGCTCAGCAGTAAAAACTGGGGTAGAGAAAGAAGGGGAGCTTCAGCTTCCAAGGTGATGGTTCTTCAGAGACTGCCTGGGCGATGGCCTGACTGTCAGGGTGGTGAATGATTTCCTCAGCCTTCCTTGGGTTTGTTTTTTTCCTCTTTTCATTACCTACTAATCTGTCTTTATCTTGACCCACAAATCTTCTCACTTTTATTCTTCCTGTTTTCTCCTTCTGTCCCTCTGAGGTGGGAGGGAGTAAGCAAGTGGCTGTGTAGGCGCTTGGCTGTGGGCTGGGGTCACCTCCCACACACTGATAGCTATTTAAAGAACTGGAGAATTGTCCTAGATTTTGGCTTTTTCTGTGTTGGTGATTTGTTTGACATCAAGAAGATTAGAGAGAAGTGTAACCGACTAAAAAAGAAATTCCTGTTCAGTTGTGTTTGTATTCACCACTGGACATTTTTCTTTTATGAACAGCAATGCAGGGGGTGACTTAATTAATAAAGCAGCTCTTGACTTCTGGATAAGTGGAAAGCGCAGGGAAGAGATTCAGCTAAAAGACCTGGAGCCCGTGTTATCTGTAGGAGTCTTCAATAACAGAAATAGTAAGTCACTTTCCCCAGAAAATGTGAAATTCGTTTTACTTCATAACTCAAGGTTCATCTCTTGACCCTGCTCTGCTTTTCTCTTTGCCCTAACTCCTCCAGGTGGACTGTGGCACAGCAGCCTCATCGACAGGAACCTCATTGACTACTTTGTCCCCTTCCTGCCGCTGGAGCACAAGCATGTCAAGATGTGCATCAGGGCTGAGATGATAGCCCGGGGTTATGCTGTTGATGAGAAGGTTGTCCAAGCAGTGGCTGATGAGATGACATTCTTCCCAAAAGAGCAGAAAATCTACTCGGATAAAGGCTGCAAGACTGTACAGGCCAAGCTGGATATTCATGAAGACGCTGTGATGAGAGATCCAAAAGCCAAGGGTTGATTAACTTCAGGTCTCCAAAGCACTTTCAGAGCTTTTGGAAATCTGGGTATTTGCACTAAGCTTTTTACTGTTGCAGGGACTGTGGTGAAAACACCAGTGCGCTGTGTGGGCTCTTTAACTTTTTTTTTTTTAACTTAACATCCCCCTGAACTGCTTGGTTTGCAAACATTGCCCCCTTTATTTTTCTTTTCACCTATAGAGAACTTCTGAGTATGACACATATATAGCACTGGATACAGCCTCTCCTGCTTCATTCTTCCAAGTCCTGGGATTATCAAGTATTTAATTCCTCTTTCCATAAAAACTAGACTAGAGCAAAGGAGAACAGAAGAATTCTTCCAGGCAGTATATTCCCTTCCTTGTACACTGTCTCATTCATGGGGTAGTGAAATGAAGGGATGTGTGGCGTGTGCAGGACTGTGCTAGTGTCTGCCAGGGTTGGCACTTGATGCGTTGCAGTAAGAAGATGGTATGGTGGGAGGCTTCTCGTCCTTCACAGCAGATTGATGCTGTTGTGGCTTCTACAGACAAGCGAGCATCAGCTGTTCAGGGACAGAAGGGGAGATTATTAAGGGGGTAAAGTAAATTTGTATGGTAAGTCCAGGGTGTTTGTCTTCCTAAGCAGAGGGGCCCATCTGAGGGATCTGACTGTTACAATATATTAGGCCAGTCTTATGTTTTTAATCAGAAAAATGGTCTCATGAGGAGTTGACTGTTGAAGTTTGTCAGGCTGATCTGCACGTGGGCTCCTGGGCCTGAAGTCTGCAAGATCTTTAGTTGTCCCTCCAAGCTGCACCCGAGGAATGGGTAATGCTACTTTCACCTTGCTTGGAAGACACGTTCATGGCAGAAGTTATTTTTAATAGTGTATTTTTATACTGAAGTGTAAGCAAGAGCAATACAAAGCTCTTCCTGGAGAGCCACAGAGAAGGGAGTATGGAAAATGGGAGCAATCAACAACCCCATACCTCACTAGAGTATGTTTTATAGTAGCTTTTTTAAAAGAATGTCTGTGTGGAAGGGTGAGTGATGGGCTAGGAAGCTGGGAGAGATGATTTAACTACCCACTTTGTAAGGCTGGTGTTTAAAACTCTGTTGCAAGCTTTAACTCTTTCATCATCTATCACTTGTGGCTCAAACACTGTAGTGGAAGACAGAAGTGCCTATTGCTTGGTTGAGTGTAGTGTGATTTTTAAACTGTCAGGAGGGATTGGGCTATTTTTGCCCTGCAGCATCTATTTCCTCACTTGTACTTAAACTTGCCTTAAGATGAGATACAAAACTCGTCTCAACACTATGGTGTTAATTCAAATTATGACAGAGAGCTCAGTGTTTATGTTAAGCTCCAAACTAAAAGTGTCAATTGTCTTTTACAACCCCACGTGGAATTTGTCAAATGTTGGCAAACCATTCATGCTGATGCAATCTCCAAAACCAAACGCCAGCTAGCCATTAACCTTGGGACATTGGACTGTTGCTTCTCATGTACAATGTTTTGCCTATTAACTGACTTATCCATAGGTGTAAATGCTGCATCCAGTTTCAGTTACTCTGAATACAAAGTACTTGTGCAATTTCAAAACACTATTAGTACTGTACTGTACCTGGAATAAATCGTAAGTCACTTTTCTCTTAGTTTAATAATTTTCAGCTATAGGAAAGCACTATTTATCTGGTTTGCAACCAGCTGCACCCCAGCTTTCTGTTAAGCTTCCTTTATTCCTAAAAAATTGTTTATAACAATAGATAAGCAGATTAAATAGCCTGTTGATATCGAAGCATGTTGAATCATCCAACAGCACAGTAAGGCTTTCAGCAGTTAAATACAGCTCAGTAGAAACAGACACCTATGAAATAGCCTTAAAGTCTCTGCCTGATCTGCTTCATAGTTATTAATAGATTTCTCCTACCATACTGCCAGGCACTGCAGGACAAAGAAGCCTCGAGTAGCTTGTTTAGCTATTCCTCCTCTCTGTGCTGTGTCTGGAAAGCTGTCACTCAAAGCAGCTCTTCACCTCTCCTCTAGCTGGCAAAGGCTTTCATCAGTTATCTCCATGGGCCAGAGCATCTGCATCCTCTCTAGCACTGAAAAAAAGCCAGAGTGTAAATAACAGCCTCGTTCCAGTGAGGTGCAGCTGGCGGCAACAACTCGCACCTCACGGAACAGTCGTTTGCTCAAGCTGTTGGGAACCACATGTTGTGCTGTAACGATGCACAGGGAAACTCCTGAGGGAGCAGGTCTGGGAAGCATAAGCTCTCTTGTTCAGTGGGACTTTGCACTATGTCTGCACGGCTCTGCACACACAACAGCGTGGCTGTTTGGTCCAGAGCGTCGGGCAGATGAATCTCTAGAGCCAGGCTGCCTCTTTCTATCAATCAAAAGCAGCACTTAATACATCGCTGTATTTTAACTGTAGCCTCTAATTTTATGAGCACAGCATGAGATCCTGGAACGTTCCCTGCAGAAGAAGGTTGCATTAAAGTAGCAGTTGTTTGGACTGGACTTTGATAAGAAACAAAATTCAGTCTTGGCAACTGTTCAGCTACTGTCACCTGGCCAATGGACTGTTTCTCTCAGGACCAGACCTTTCACCCCGTTTGACATTTTCCTTTAAGTTGTCTGATCCAGTTTCAAGTGCCCTATTAAAAAGAATAACGGCCAGGGTTACCCTGTCACAGCAAGACAGAGTGAGGACCTCAACTCTGAAACCGTGCAGTCTAACGGGGAGGATCAAAGCTGCGAGTGATTTCAGGCACACCAATTTCTTTTACCCAGATGCAGATGCTCCTAGCCAGGTCTGCTGTTTTCAAGGACAAAAGAGAGATTAAACAGAGGCAGTCTGCATCCTTTGAACATCATTTCTACACCCTCTAGAAGAAGCTTCCATCCACTCTAAGCCATCTGGGGCTATGATATAATTAAATACTTGCTATTAATGTATGTCAAATGCTATATCAATGCTGCAATGGCACATAAAGCAGAACTAAGAGTGAAGTTAATGCTGGAAAAGCCACAACACTGCTTGGTTGAACTATTTCTTTTGATGAGAAGGTACTAGACAGGAGTAAAAGTTTATCATGTCTGCTTTTTTCCATTAGCCAGTCATTTGCTGTAATCAGGAGGTCAAAGAAATAGATAAATACCTGAGTTCAAAACACACATTTGCTGACAAATACAAGGACTGATGATTTGCATGTGACACAACTTCAGAGCAGAACAGGACAGCTGAAATCTTACTGACCCTTTTTTTCCCTTTGCAGAGAAAACTTCAAGGTGCTGTCACTGAAAATGTGGGTGGCTTTAATCAGAGCGTGCAGGGTGTTCAGTCAGTGGTACCATGGTGGGAGGAGGAGATGAGAAGCAGGGAATTAACTAGTCTCTAGAAGACAAATCCATCTTCATGAGACTGTTCAGGACATGTACATCTAGAGAGTCCACCTCTACAAAAGCTGTGTGAGTATAATTAGTACTCATGGTCTACAAGTGCAGTTTCAGCTCCAAACTTCATTTGTTTCCCTTTCACCAGGCAGCAGAGTCACATCTCCTCCCCATATCTATTCCCTTTGAACTCAAGAAGGGAGATACCTGTACTCAAGCACAGCTGAACACTTCAGCCAAAAAGGTAGGATGCTCTTCCTTAACAAGCAGTAAGTTTGTACAAAATTAACATCAAATCACTCAGTGCAAAGAACACCAACAGGTAACCAAGAAATACATTTCCAATGAGAAAAAGTTTATTTTTTTAATAGAAACTGGAGTGGAAAAAGCCTCTGCAGTGCTTACGTTTAACAAGTCTGACACTCTTCACAGTGTCTTCACAGCAGCTTTGGTTGACACATTTCACATTTATTTCAAATGCTCTGTCTTCACCCCTGCCCCAAAGGCACACAGTATTGCAAGGACAGAAACAAGGGAAAATCCTGCAAGCTGGTCCCTGAATTCTACATGGAGGTGAAGAGGAAAAACCTCTTTTCCATTTCCTTGGTGCAAAATTTAACCTGTACATGTTTCCCATTCAGTTACCTTCAGTTACCCTCATTCACCCTCTCCATGAAGCTGACTCACCACTCACACTTTTCTCCCTCCTGAGATCACTGCAGGGAGAGCACGCTGTGAGCAACCTTACACATAAAGAAATAACCAAAAATAGGAACCAACTACACTAATGTGGCAGTCAAAGATTTTAGCTCACTTCCTTGTAATATTAAGTCCACCCTTTCCACGCTCTTCATACCAAAGAGTTTCATATTCATGGTTTGACATGCAGGAGGCCTATTCATACCCCTGTTTTGAGAAAGGCAATGGTACTGGACAATGTTGGATAGAAGTCTCCAGATTTTTGTAGTTAACAAATCCCCCCCCCTTATCTTTACTGGAATCAAGCTGTTCAAGGAGAAAAGACACATATCCTACTTTTAATACAGTTATAGGAATATTCCCAGAAAGCTCAACAAAGACTTTCAGAGACATAGGAACTCTGATTAAAATTCTCAATATTGTCTCGAAATCATCCACATCAAAACAAAATCCAATTAAAATTAGGTCATAGTCTCAGTCCTTCTATAGGTGCCAACAGTCTGGCAAACAGTTCTGAGGATCAACACACAATCCAAGAGGAGTCTTTGGCACTGTCAGACACAGACCCCCGCAATCACAACGCAGTTTGTTCTTACCTTGGTGACATAAGGCTGAAGTACTTGGGAGCCGTGAGTAGGGACAGAATAAAAATGCAGAGGCACTGCTGCTTATTTCCACGCCAGTTAAAAAAATAACGTTCCTTTCTTTAAAAAGTGCTTAAAAATGAAATGTCCTGGGTTCTCCACTATGATTAAGTTAAATCTGCTTCTTTGCAGATAAAGCATTAGAAGTCATAGTAATAATCCAGCTTTGCATCCACAGTTTTACATCCTTTGTCTGAATAAATTCTCTCCTCTCTGGGGAAGTAGGTCATTTCGTCGGCTATTCTGGTTAAAATGTCTTCATCCACAGCATAGCCACGTGATTCAATCTCAACCCTGACACACATTTTCACATGTTTGTATTCCAGAGGCAGGAAGGGAACAAAGTAGTCAATAAGATTTC